CTGCTCTTGACTACCCACACATGATCTATAATCTCCAAACGGATCCCTCTAAGTGTAAATCAGAGCACATCTGTTCAAGCCATGCTGGCCTCCTTTTTCTTCTTCAAACATGCCAGGAATACTGCTGCCTCAGGGCCTTTGCACACATGGTCCCTTCTTTCAGGAATACTTGTCACCAGCTATTTTCATGGCTCATTCTTACATTTCATGCAGGTCTCCACCCAGACATTCCAATTCACAGCAGATTTCCTGATCACCCTAATTAAAATCACTCTCCTGCCTTTATATTGTCTATCCCACTTCATTTTTTTCATAATTCTTTTTCCCGACTCACATTCGTGCGTGTCTCTTTACTTACCTGTTGTTTGCAAGTCTCCCACTAGAATGCAGCTTCCAAAAGGTAGAGACGTGGGCATCTTGCTCAGGGCTGTATCCCCAGGCCAGAACAGCTCCTGACACATAGTCATTGCTCAATGCACCGTTGGGGGATGAATTTTAGGAAAAGTTGTGAACTGAACAGGGATGATTTTTTCCTTCATTCTTAATATACTTTTCTCAGGGGCTTCTCTTAATTGGATGAAGAAGATGAGCAGCCAAAGATATCACTAAGATTACCAAGTGCTTTTCCTCCCTGGAATGGACAAAGCCAGTTATGAGTAGTAATTGTTAATCTTTGAGGGATCACAGACATCTTCAGGAGTTAAAAAATTTATTAATATCCTTCTCAGGAAAGTGCATATATGAACAAAATTCATGTAATTTCTGAGGGTCTAGTGACCACCTGCTGCTACGTTTTGAAGTTGAGATCTGTTGCCCTAAATTTCAGTTGCCTAAGAGCTATTCAACTGGGCCACAAGCTTCTAGAAAGATCTTTCCTTTGGGTTTCTCTCACTGAGAAACATCACTACCATACTATTCTCATAGAATGGCAGTCGTCTATGAGAGAATACACATAACACCAATAATTACGAATGGAAATTCACAATTTGAGCTTCAGATAGGTGACAACAAATCAGTAGTGTAGATTCAGCAGTATAAATTATAGCAGCAGTTCCATCGACCCACCTCCATCTATTCACATTAACTGTCCCTCTCTATGTCCTCTGATGTGCAAATAACCAATGCCCATGACATACTGATGTGCAAAATGAAGTCTGCCTTCACACTCGTATCCTAACTCTTGTTTATGAGTGTATTTGTTCCCAACCTGCTTTTCCTCGCTTTACCTGAAATTGCAGTTGCACTGATTGAATGTTACATAACCTGAAAAAATACAGGTTCAAAGGAGAGATGTTCTCACAAAGATCACAAAGTGAAGTTGAGTTCTTTTGACATCTTTGATAAAGGGGTTGTTAAATGACAAATTAGGTGTGGGCAAGGCAATTATAAATGACCAGGTAGAAAATTCTAAAACCCCAGGAATGCTGTAGTACAGAGATAGCATTGGCAGCTTCTCTGTGTTCTCATTACCCCTTAAAGTAAGGGAAAGGGGAATCTTAAAGGATGCATTATGGGCAGGGGTGGGGTGTGGAAAGGTGGGTAGACTGGTACAAAGTTACAAAGTAACAGATAGGAAGAATAAGTTCTGGTGCTTTAGGGTGACTATAGCTCATAATGTTGTACTGTATATTTCAAGATAGCTAGAAAAGAGGATCCTCTGTTATAACCACAAAGAAATGACAAATGTTTTGGTGAAAGATAAGCTAACTATTCTGATTAGATCATTATAAAATATATGCATGTACTGAAAAAACAAATTACCCCATAAACACATACAATGAAAAAATAAATTTAAATTTAGGAAAAGATGCATTATGGATACAGAACTCCAATTGAGGGATCCATACTCAAAGAAAAACTTCTGCCAAATGAATTAACATTCAAGTGAACTTAAAATAAGTTAAAATAAAAAGTGATTATGACTATCTATGGTACCTGACTTTGAATAATCAACCATCCAACCATATGGTTAAGGGGGTTTTACTGCCTTTTAAAAATAGGGAGAGAAGACAGCCACCCTCAAGTCATAAAGGAAAGAAATCTATTAGTACCACTGAATTAATTTTTTATAAAGCTGTAATGTCATCAGACTTGTTTTACTTTTTCCTGGCAAAGTCATAGCTCAGGAAACTGACAGAGAATAGATTTTCTGAAATCCTAAAGAGGCGAGAGCTGTAACAATGCAGAAGAACCCAGTTGAGGAATAGCCATGAGTTACACACTTGCTCTGGGGAGAACAGCTTCCCAGGAGGGAAATGAAAGGTTTATGGACTCTAGTTTGAACTTGAAAAATACAAAGAACCAGCCAAGAATGGGCAAAATTCTCAGTAGAGATGATTCTGAAAAATTATAAAGGGAAACATGAAGAGTCATTGGAGAGGAAGGGCAAAAGACCGACTCCATGGTTTCTCTAGGTTTTTTTCTCTAATATATGAAAACTAAACCAAAAACATGTAGCTGCTCTAAATTGCATCTCCTGGTAATTGTACATATTACCCCATATTAAGGGGAAAACCAGTGACCAAGCCCTCACCAAGAGGAGGGAAAAGTGCTTTCTCTGGTTATTAGTAAGTCTTAGTAAGGCTTGAATGCTAGAATAATCAATATTTTCCCAGAAGGGTGTCACTTGGGGCCCCTAAAACCAAGAGGTTTTAGTTAAAATCAAGGCTGCTAGTCAGGCACTGGGTATACTGCCAAGAATGTGAACGTAACCAGCATAGAAGGGTCTACATACTCGGGTCTGGGGCGGGCTTGCTGAAGTTATAAGATACTGCAGCTCAGCAGAGATACAGAGTAACTCAGCAGGACTTACCAAACTAAGGTCCACAGCACTGAACTTTCCTGACCTTTGAGTTTGTACCCGGCCCTGCCCTCCTTCGTGTTTGCTATTGATAACCTCCACCCTCCCTCGCCCTTGATGTTGGGCAGACTCCAAGATCTAGGTACTAACTTCACCTTCCACAGTGTTTCACAAGCCAACAGAACCCGCTTGACATCCTTCCCCACCTCTTGCCACTCTGAGAAACCGCAGAATCAGCCCTCTGGCCTACAGTTCTCAAAACCCCCTGTCCTTACAGGCCAAGGGGCAGTTTGTAGAGTGCTTCAGCACTACCTTGCACTGGGTGCCATCACCAGGTCTTATGAGCAAGAGTGACAGCAGTGTCTAATCCAACGATGATGGGACTAAGAGATTGGAAATAGAGATTAGACATGGTAAACCGGTAGGAGACTTCAATCATCCATTAGTTTAGTTATTCAGTCAACAGTCACTTCTGACATCCCTGGAATTGGACTAAGCTCTTAGGATACAGTGTGGAATAGAAATAATGCCCTGGGCAGATCCAGGTGAGACTTGTTAGTGAGCACTTGTAGCAATAATTCAGAAGAGAAGAGCTGAAGGCCTGGACTAAGGTCGTGGCATTGGAGGTGAAGAGGGGAGATGGGTTTTAGATAGAGAGGAGACAGACAGACCCTCGGGCTGTCTATAAAACTATATACAAATGACTAGCTCCTCTTTAATTGCTTAAGTCATATATTTAATTCAAACGATATATAAGGGGACAAAATGTAAAGTGAAAAAGTAAAAGTCCCTCCTCTGGCATCACATTTAACACCTTAATGGAGGCCACTTTGAATGGATTGGTGACATTAGAAAGCAATGTGGAAGTGAAGGGACGTGAAGGACTCGCACTTCTGCAAGAACTGGATGGATGCTCCTGAGATAAACACTGGAGAGGACTATTTCTTGGACACAGAGGATGAGTTTACTTAGACCGTTTTGAATTTTATTGAAATATAACTCCCAAACTATGCAGCTCACCCATTTAAAGTGATTGTTCAATGGTTTTTAGCATATTCAGATTGTGTGACCATCCCCATAACCAATTTCAGAACATTTTCTTCACCCCAAAAGAAAACCCTGTACCCTTTAGCAGTCACTCCTTAATTCCCTTAATCCTCCTTCCCGGCCCAATGTAACCACTTTCTGTCTCTATGGATTTGTCTATTAACCTTATATAAATGGAATCACATAATATGTGGCCTTCTATGAATGGCTTCTTTGACTTAGCATAATGTTTTCAAAGGCTAACCATGTTGTAGCACTTTTTATTGTCAAATAATATTCCATTGTTTGAAAATAACACACTTTGTTTATCCATGTACCTAGTGATGAACATTTGAGTTTCTACTTTCTGGCTATTTTGAATAATTCTATGAGCATTTATGTTGCTGTCTGAATGCCTGTTCTTAACTCTTTCAGGTATATACCTGGCAGTGGAATTGTTAGGTCATATGGCAATTCTTTACTTTTTAAGGAGCTGCCAGACTGTTTCCCACCAAGGCTGCACCATTTTACATTCCACCAGCACTGTACACAAGTTACAATTTCTCTACGACTTTGTCAAAACCTGTTAGTGTTTGACTTTTTGATCAGAGCCTCTCTAGTGGGTGTAGAGATGTCATTGGGATTTTGATCTGCATTTCTCTAATGACTAATGATGCTGAGCATGCCAATGATGCTTTTCAGCCCTGTGTGTATTTTCATTGGAGAAGTGCCTATTCAGATCTTTTGCCCATTTTAAAATTAAGTTATCTGTCTTTGAGTTGTAAGAGTTCTTTATACATTTTACATACAAGTCCCTCTGGTATATGATTTACAAGTATTTCTCTCCCATTCTGTGTACTTACTTGATGGGGTCCTTAAAACCACAAAAGTTTTTAACTTTGATAAAATTCAATTTATCTACTTCTTTTGTTTGTGTTTTGTGTTATCACCGAAGAAACTATTGCCAGATCCAAAATCATCAACATTTATGCTTATGCTTTTTCCCAAAGCAATTATGAATCTTTTCTTGTGTTCTCGAACTGGTGAACTGAGAAAATGGACGTGAAGCTAATGCTATTACATATGACAAAATTAAATTTTCCCATCTGACAGTTCTCAAATGATCTATCCCTAAACAGCTATTGACTTATAAAACATGACAAACATAACCATAAAGGTGAAATAAATTCAGTTTATTACTAGAACATGAGGATAATGAAACAAGAGTTTTCAAAGTTAGCAAAGATTCTCCACAGGACAAATGTCACTTAAAATCATGTGAATCTCAAATTCTTTCTACTAGAACTTCTAATTGTTCAGCTATTTCCAGAATTCCCCCACGGCTCCAAGAATATTAAAACATATAAACTTTCTCATCTAAAGAAACAACATGCCATTTTAATGGTTTCTTAAATTATTTGGACTGAAGGTAAAATTTGTGCAACCACACATTTCGCATTATTTTGGGGAGGACCTAAGCTGTAAACACAAGCAAATGTATCTTACTTGCTTCTTTAAAAGGAATGGTGTTGATGGATGACAGAGGAGTAGACCTTGACCTTTCAGGCTGACTCTGCACCACCCTAAGTACCAGAGCTCTCCACCCTGACAGGAACCAAGTCAAATGATGGCTCTGGATAAGGTGACAGAGTAGACATGCATGCTATAGTCAATGACAAGCGGAGAAAGGAGTTGTGTCAACCGGGTCAGTCCAGCCTCACGGGGACTCCTGTGTTCTGACATGATTACTAACAGTGATCACTGCAATTACAGTTTATTTTGCTCAAATTTCATATCCCAAATACCTCCCCTTAATGTAAAGCAATCATTTCTCTAAGTAAAAAGACAATTTTATACCAGACAGACAGGCAAACACGGTGGTATATTTTAAAAGCCAGATATATTTTTAAAAGGTCATGCTTACAACAGGTAAATTATGTAGTGAAGAAACATCAAAATAAAGTTGACGCATAAAAAGGCACACTTGAGAAGTTCAAGAGTGGAAAGGAGAGAACGGTTCTTTTTGTTGGTTTCTAACGTAGGAAGAAAGGGAAACATGTACTAAAATCATTTTTGCCGGTGAAGGTTTCAGTCAGTTGAAGTGGTTAACACTGGCTTCTTTTCCCCTTGCCCAAAGCAGTCTTTCCTTGCACACTGGCTGCTGAGAAGGTGCTTAGTCTTCTGCCATGTACAGGCGGTACATCAGGGCCACCACAACTGCTGAGATGGCTGGGATCACCCAGTTGGTCCACCAGCTGGAATTAGATTCAATAGTAGTAATAAGAGTTTCCGAAGGCTTGGTTAACTTCGATCTATCATCTGGATGAAGCTCCCCAATGATAAAAGTTTTGGACAGTTCTCTGGCATCTGAAGAATGCCC